GAGAGAGAGAGAGAGAGAGAGAGAGAGAGAGAGAGAGAGAGAGAGAGAGAGAGAAATTAAGAACCAGGAATCACTTTTAAAATATTGTTCACTTGCCACTTGCTGGGTGGTGGTGGCACATACCTTTAATTCTAGCATTTGAGAGGCAGAGGCAGATCTCTGAAAATTCAAGGCCTGTCTGGTCTACATAGTGAGTTCCAGGATAGCCAGAGCTACACATTGAAACCCTGTCTCAAAAAAACAAAAGCAAAAAATTGATAATGATACTAAAATAAATAAAAATAAAATATGTCCACTAAGAGTGTGGTATGCGTTTATTAAACCGTTTGGATAATGTTTTGCAAAGCAAGTCAAAGCTACAATTGCTGCTCTAAGGCTGGGAGGATGGCTCGGTGGGTGAAGGTGCTTATTGCACTTGGGTTTATTTTTGTTTTGTGTTGGCTTTTGTTTTTTTCAGACAAGCTCTTTCTATTATGTAACTCTGGTTGTCCTGGAACTCACTATTGTAGCCCAGGCTGGCCACAGCTCACAGATATCCACCTGCCTCTGCCTTCCAAGAGCTGGGATCAAAGGCGTGCGTCAGCACACTTGTCCACCTTTATTACACTTTGAATCCTTAGAAACTATGCAAAGTCTGGTGCAGTGTTGTCCATCTGTGATCTCAGAGCTCCCAGGAGGAGATGGGAGGGGGAGATGGGAGGAGAAGGAGATGGGAGGAGGAGATGGAGGGGGAGATGGGAGGGGGAGATGGAGGGGGAGATGGGAGGGGGAGTTGGAGGGGGAGATGGAGGAGGAGACAGAATTCCCAGACGTTTTGAGGCCACATATTCTGGTGTATCCAGCAGGAAGCAGAGAGACCGACACTAGAGGTTGCTGACTGACCCCCACACAAACTCTATGGTGCACACGTGCCTACACACACACACACACACACACACACACACACACACACACACACACGCCATAATACACACAGACACAAAAAGAAAGGAGAAAATGCTGTCTAGCTACTGGCCAAGGTTCAGAATTGTTTATGACATTCAGATGTAACTCCTGCCAATAATCCCACACGTGAGAGGCTGAGGCAGGAGAATCACCATGAGTTCAAGGCCAGCCAGGTTACATGGTATGTTTCAAGCCAGCCTGGGCTACAGAGTAAGACCCTGTCTCAACAACAACAACTATAAAGCCATAAAGCTTAGCTAACTTTACAACATGCCAGGGTTATATATTTGTTTTAAAAACACCATCTAATAATTGACTATTTTATTCATAATCTTCAAGATATAGGCCAGGTATGGTGGCGCACGCCTTTAAGCCCAGCACTTGGGAGGCAGAGGCAGGCGGATATCTGTGAGTTCGAGGCCAGCCTGGGCTACAGAGTGAGTTCCAGGACAGGCTCCAAAGCTACACAGAGAAACCCTGTCTCGGAAAACCAATAAATAAATAAATAAATAAATAAATAAATAAATAAATAAATAAATAAATAAATAATAAAAGAAAATAACCAGAGATCTGTTTTCCTTCTCTCCCCTGAATGACAGGATTACTGGCTCTCTCTCCTGTTCAAGAAACTGGTAGGTCCCCAGGTGTTGATGGTGCAAGTGAAAGGCCCGGACAGGAGCAAACTGCGAGCGTATCTGCATTGCACAAACACCCACCAGTAAGTACCCGGCACACGCTTCCCCCAAACAAGTCAGCCAGTCAGCGGGAGATGTCCTGTCCAGCACCCCTGCTGCCCTCCAGCTGCGTAAGGATCTGAACTGTGTCATTTTTCCTTACCCTTTCTTTCTTTCTTTCTTTGTCTTCATGATGCCAGACTCCCAAACCTCCCAGCGGGTCTGGCTAGATGGCTCGGCTGGGGAAGTGCTGTGTGGAAGGAAGCATGAGGGCCTGAGATCCGCATCCAGCATCCATGTAGAAAAAGCTGGATGTGGCAGTGCGTACCTGTAGTCCAGCACTGGGAAGGCGGAGACAAAAGGGTCCCCAGGGTGTGCTGATTGGCCAGTCTGTCTGAATTGGTGAACTCGAAGCCAACGAGAGACCCTGTCTCAAAAAAAAAATGAAAAAAGAAAAAAGAAAGAAAAAATAGAGAGCAGCTGAGAAAAACATCTACTGTCGGTCTCTAGTCACCACACACATGCGCACACATTTCACATACAAGAACATGCACATGGGGCTGGAGAGATGACTCAGAGGTTAAGAGAACTGCTTGCTCTTCCAAAGGTCCTGAGTTCAATTCCCAGCAACCATCTGTAATGAGATCTGGTGCCCTCTTCTGACCTGCAGGGATACGTGCAGACAGAATACTGTATACATAATAAATAAATAACTCTTAAAAAAAAAGAAAAGAAAAAGAGGAATCCTTCTTAAAAAAAAAAAAAAAAAGAACACACACACACACACACACAATTGCTTAAACAGGGGCTGGAGATATGGCTCAGCAGGTAAGAACACTGGCTGAGGACCCAGGTTCAGTTCCCAGCACCCACATAGTGACTCACAACTATTTGTAACTCTAGTTTTAGGGCATTCAACATTCTGGCTTCAGCAGGCACCACACACACACACACACACACACACACACACACACACACACACTATATATGCAGGCAGAACACTCATACACATCATAAATAAGGTTTTTTAAAAATAAAAAACCAAGCTGGGCGGTAGTGGCACACCTTTAATCTCAGCACTCAAGAAGCAGAGTCAGGTGGATCCTTGAGATCAAGGCTAGCCTGGTCTACAGGGCAAGTTCCAGGCAGCCAGGGCAAAGAGAAACCCTGTCTTGAAAAACAAACATAAATAAGATTAAAAAGCAAAACAATTGTTTCAATATGGGCATATGCAAAGATTTACATAATGATTTTAATGAAATAATGTCTATAATGAAAACATATCCTGAATGGTACGCAGATGATTCCTTACGGGTGCGTGTAATATGAACATGAATTAGTGTTGAATATACAAGTCTGTGGATGGACTGATCTCCTTAGTTTACCCAGGTGGAAGAAAGAATCAACACCACCAACAGCATCAAAGGGTGGAAAGGCCTGTGAGAATGCTCAGCCGCTAAAGGCCCCTGCCGTCAGGACTGACCACCTGGTCTCCATCCCTGGGACCCACGTGGTGGAAGGAGAGAACCGACTCCTGAAAACTGTCCTCTGCCCTCTGTGTGTGCACATGCGCACAAATAAATAAGCCTAGCTTGTTTAACTTAGAGATTCTTTTTTAAGTTGTACCTGGGCCAGCAGACAGCGCAGCAGGTAGAGGGACTGCAGGGCCCGAGTTGGTCACCACAAGGCAGTGGAAGAGAACCAGCTCCCAAGAGTCGGCCTCTGACCTCCACACATGTGGCGCACATATGTCCTTCCCAGAAATGAACCAAATAAATAAAAAATAGTCTTGAGTTGTGACCATGTTTTAGAGCAAGAGGCCATGCAGATGTTGCTAGACCTGCACTCTGGCTTTAGGTAGAAAGAGATCCCCAAACCCCAGGGCTTAGCTTATCTGAGTTCCCATCTCTTATGGCAGATGGGCTAGTATTATCCCCCAAAGCCCCCTAACATTCTCCACTCCTAGGCACTGGGGACTCGGAACAGTGGAGGTCATGGTATGAAGTACGGAATGGCTGAAGTGGATAAATTCTGGAAAAGTCAACAGATTTATTTTTTGTTTGTTTTGTTTGAAATAGGATCTTACTAGGAGGAGGTCTTGACTGGCCTGAAATTTGTTATATAAACCAAGCTGGCCCTTGAATTCAGATCTGCCTGCCTCTGCCTCCCATGTGCTCTGAGTAAAGGTGTGCACCACCACCCTCGGCCTTCGTCTGTCTTAATCATCCTTTTATTATGTGTGATTAGCATATTCTGTGTGTTTTGTATATGTGCATGCTCACATGTGGGGTACACATGTGTTCATGCACATACATGAGTGTTCATGAAGACATCAACAATCTCGGGTCCTTCCTCGGGTGCTGTCTACCTTTTGTTAGGGACAGGGTCTCTCACTGGCCTGGAACTTTGCCAAGTTGCTAGGCTAGCTGGCCAGCAAGCTCTAGAGAGTCACGTCTCTCCTTCCCGTCTCAGCATCACGAGAATGACAAGCATGAGCCACCTTGTCCAGCTTTTCACGGGGTTTCAGGAGATGGAGTGAGCATCTTACCAGCTTACCCACCTCCCCAGCCCCATTTCAGTTTTTTTTTAAAAATTATTTTTATTTTATATGTATGGGTGTTTGCTTGCATATATGTGTATACCATGTGTGTACCAGGTGCCCTTGGAGGCTAGAGGAGGGTATTGGATCTCCTGAAATTGGCATTACAACAGTTATGTTGTGAGTTATGGGGACTGAACCCTAGTCCTCCGGAAGAGCAGCCTATGCTCTGACCAGCCTCCTGGCTAGTCTTTTTATTAGACTAGGAATAGCTCGTTTATATAGTTTATAACTGGAATTCACTATAGATCTTATTATCATCAAGATTGTCATTATCCTTCCTATATATAAAAACATGTGGTCTGGCTATGGCCTTCTGGAGCTCAATGTGGCAAAGGAGCAAAGCTCTCAGCCTTCTGGCTCACGAAGTAGTGATATGAAGAATAGTACTTTTCTTGTTTTCAAAATAGGGCCACAAGATTGGCCTAACATCATCCTTGGAAAGGCTGCTAATACATCCCACCACCATATGAATATGGTACTCGGTATCTCTGATTGCATGAATGTTCTAGTTCTTCAGTGTGTAAGTCAGACAGATATGTGACTGAATTAACCTGTTTGCTTTTAGCCCAAGGTATCGGGAAGGAGATTTAACTCTGTATGCCTTGAACCTCCATAATGTCACCAAGCACTTGAAGTTGCCATATAAACTGTTTAACAAGCCAGTGGACAAGTACCTTCTAAGGCCTTTTGGACCTGATGGGTTACTTTCCAAGTAAGTAATTTTTCTTGTTGATTGCAAACTTTATGTAAGTTTATTGGCATTTATCAGAATAGAGAGGGTTTTTCAGTGGCGGGGGGGGGGGGGAGAGGATAACTATTACATTCTAACATTTTTTTATTTCATAAATTCTATATGTGAATACTTATTTATACAGCTGTAACTCATGTAAGAGGGCAATGTAGGATATGGACACAAACTAGTAGTTATCTTAGAAGAAAATCTGTAATCCCAAATATCTTCACATATTAAGATCCAGTCAGTGTATTTAGATTATTTGGTTTTT